AAGTTTTGTGTGGTGGCCATCACTTGACAATGACATTGAAAATCTGGTGAAAAATTGTAGACAGGGTGTTTCAACAAGAAATATGCCAATTACAGCACCAACACAACGAAACCATGTGAGATAGTTCACCTTGATTTTGCAGAGTTTAAAGGTCAATATTTACTCAAAATGGCCTGAAGTTCTTCTCATGACAAGTACAACTGCCTCCAAGACAATTGCTGTGCTACGACAAATATTTTCAACTCATGGAATACCTGATGTACTAGTATCTGACAATGGCCCCCAATTCAAATAAGACAAATTTTCTAGATTCATGACAATGAATGGCATTCAACACAAGAGAAGTACTCCGTATCATCCTCAAACCATAGGTGCTGCTGAACGGTTTGTTCAAATCCTGAAAAACAATCTCAAAATGTCGGAAGGAAAAGATGTACCAGCACAGTTAACAAGGATGTTGATCAAATACAGGTCTACACCACATTCAATGACAGGAAGATCCCCTGCAGAGCAACTGATGTAATGACAAATCAAAACTAGACTACATCTTCTACAACCTAGTCTACAAAGAAATATCATGGAAAGAAGAGAAGAGAGAGAGAGTATGTGACAATAAACTGTTGCAGTGTGAACTGAACTTTAAAGTGTTAACAAACATTTATCTTAAAACTGGTGGCGTGATTAACCTTTTATCGTTACTCTTTCCCGTTTTGCACCAATCTTTTATTTCATAATTGGGTTGTACATTAAAAGGGAAGGAGTGTTGTTTATGTTATGTATCGCATTCTCACATGGCCTTTCGCGGTTGGCTTAGAGTAATGACGTCACATGTCATGCTCTCGATTTAACTTCTGTAAGCTTGTCAACAAGTAAAGATGGAACCCAAGCTGTATGATCCTGTTGTTTATGAAAATGAGGCAAAAACATAACAGCTCTCACTCAGCGATTTCGGCCAAGCACTCATTGAGAGTGAGGCCTATGCACCGCCACCGGCTTCTGAAAGTGAATCGGACGAGGATTGGGATTTATCTGTGGTATCTCAGTTTAGCCCAGATGATGGATTGAATGGCAAGTACCAAACCTTACACTTTCAAGATTGGTTAGACATGTGACAGAAGTATCATGAGCTACCGGGTAACAACCTGTTGGGATCATCGTACACAGGTCAACGCCAGGCATCACAAATTTCATGGAGATCAATTTGTGCCTGTGCCAGCCAAGAAACACGTCCTATGCAGAAATTGGAAACACAACTTGGCAGTTTACCACACAGTTCACAATGGACTGTCCGTTGTGTGGAACTCGAACCTCACCTCCGGCATATTGCGGGATTGGAGGTTAATACGCAGGGTGAATTAAATGTCACGGGTCAAGAACTCTGGCTGTAAACACCATAATTAGGTCAACCAACTTAATGGGAAAGGTGCAGGGTCATTGTACCTGATTGGTTTGCATGCTTACTGGTATGCTTACGTAATGCCGTAACACTAACTTCAGTAGACCGCTGGTGTCAACCTGCACAGTATCGAGGCACACACGGAGTATGAGGCACCTCCCTTCATCGTCACCTCGACATAAGAACGGGAGCATCTGTGCAGCGTCGTACCTTAATTTGGCCATCGGTTTAGGAGTGCTTAGTCTACTTGGTAGCTGGTAGTGGTTTGCTTACGAACACTATTTTCCACATCCTTTCCAGACATGACACGACTAGAAGCCACCCGGTAGTTGATTTTTCATCATTTACATCCTTGTAGACAACAATCTGCTAACCGCTCTTCAACAGCCACATACACTCTAGCCAGTGGCAGATGTTGCAGGGTTTGCTCACATCAGATGCCAAGACCCATATGCAGCCATCACTCTACCATCTCAACTGGTGGACAATAGAGTCAAACGTCTTAGGAGGTGTTTCCTTATCTAATTTACACATGTACGTGGATGCCTCCCTGCATGGGTGGGGTGCTCATTTACAGGGCCAGACAGCCTCAGGACTGTGGTCCAGTGCTCAACAGAATAGGCACATAAGGCTAAAAAAAATAATAATCTTTGTTCTTAGGCACTGCTCACATCATCAGAAAGTTCATTGCACGTTTCGTTTTGGTTTCCATTTTCGGTGAAACCCACGAGCACGGGTATGATGCTGACAAACCTAGAAACACAATCCTTGTATGATAGCCACAGTTGAGCCATCTTTCCTTGATGTCCTGTTCTAATGTCATTGTGATGTTGATGAAATCCTTTGAAGTATTTCTTTACTGCATTGTCCGCAAGAGCTGTGTCTAGGGTGTCTGAAGATGGGGCATGCAGCAAATTATCTAGAACTTGGTTTGATTGCCCAGATAACAAAGACATCACTTCAAACTTCACCCCAACTTTCTACATACCGGTACTGAGTTATTAGGAGTCTCTCAAGGCATTCCAACAAGACCTTTTGGCAGTGCATAGCTCTGTTGTAATGTTTCCCTGAAAGAACACCTGCGATGGAATCCGAGGCAAATAAGCCTGCTTCCAACAATATTTCAAAGAGACCTGACCCATTAATTTTCTTTCCTATCATTTCCATGTATGCACAAACTAGATCCAATGTTATGATCAGGAAAATGTGCTTCTCATACTTAGTTTGGTTATTCCAGATGAGGGGGTATGCTTTCATACATACACCTAAGTCGAATGTGGTGATGATGTAGCACTGGTTGACTTCATTGGTGGCATTTTCAGCATAGCGTACCGTCTTTTAATCGGTGATTGGACTGCCAATAATGGGATAGTAGTCGATTGTTGTCAAACTCTCAGGAACTTTACCAGACAGAGATATGAAACCAGTCACTTACCCAGGCACTTCCTGATGTGACAAACAACTTTTCATCCATATCAGCACCCACAATATGTGTTGCATGTCTGCTTCATGGTAGGTATCTTCACCATCAGGATATGTCCACTGCTTGCTCACAAAGCAGTCTGGCAGATTTTCAGATGGAGTGTTTTCAGTGAACGTTGTTTGGTAGTATTATCCTTCGGGATAGAAGGGATGTCTACATGTGTGCCACAATGATCCTCTGGTTTGCCTTCTATATCCTGTAGCATGATACCATGGGCAGTATGAACTGAACCGATTTCAGTTAGGTTGTTCAGCAATTAATCAAAGTTATCAAATTCAGAATAAAACAATGATAGTGCATCTGGTGACCGAATAATATGTGTTGACAATAGAGTTGATGTTTCCTTCTTCTGCTATAGGATATCCATGTCGATCACATTACATACAGCATCAAATGCTATACTACTGGGCTCTGTGAATTTCATTTGTCTTCATCATTTGTACTCCTCCATTTATCAGGATTCTGTGAGTACTTCACTCTACATGACTTGTGGTACTTTGCTTCGCAGGCGAACAAGTCTTGCCCTCAAATCCTTGTAAGAAGTTTTTCATCACCTCGCTTCTCGGCCGTCGCCTGTACTGAGTCCATCATACTGAAACTGACTCAGCCCCACAGTGGTCCATGTTCCCTTAACCCTGATTTTTTTCCTCCCTTCTGAATTGCATAAAATGCAGTCAGGAGTAAACAATACATGATCTCCTGAACTTCTCCTGCTTGGTTTGTAACTTGATGATCCTGAGGGTTCAGAGTATGAAGAGAAGCGATTGGTTACACTCTCTGTGGTATCCATGATGTTCTGCTATAAGCATCTGTTATAAGTTCATATGTCTTTAAATTGTCATTCGATGAACAGAGGCTGGGGGTTGAGTCTCTTCTTGTGTATCTCCTTCAGTTTGGTCAGTCTGTTTTTGGCATGTAAGACCTTCCTACAAGGTCTCATCCATTATCATACAGACTTATTGACATCAGGTTACTGTCCCATAAGCAATGCTCTCCTGTTTTACGATGTAATTCAGGGCATGAGTGAAAGCAACATATTGGTAGTTTATGACCTTCTCTTAACACTATAATCGTTTAAAGTAAGCAGGGAAAATGTTTTCTTTTGCAAACTTTACAAAACCTTCAAAATCTATTAGATTTACTCCTCCCATAACAAGAAGGAGGTGGTACCCTATAATGATATAAGAAGAATAGCATGTTCCCAAAGGGTTATTAGAACAGATCTCTATCTGAACCATGCACACAGGTGGAACCCACCACCTTCTGTGGGATTCAAGCAATAGCATGAGTCAGGATAAGGGATAAATATATTTTTTTAGGGTAAAAATATCATTTATGCCTATCCTGACTCATACGCTTTTGCACCCACACAGCCCTCCCTTCTTCATCTGTGTTTCGGCCATTAGGTAAGGGAAAGAGAGAGTTGACGAGTATATCAACTTGGTCGCCTGTTTCCGGTGCTCATGCACAAACCAGGGGTGCTTTCAGGTGAGGTTGTTTTTTACTGTTCTCCAGGAACACAGTTATGGACATTTCTGTACCTTTAAGAAATGTGTTGAGATAAGCAATAGTATGAATCAGGATAAGTATAAATGATATTTTTAGTGTTAAAAAAAATACATTTTATCAGTGCTTGTTGACATGACCTGAATGAATCTTCAATAACATACAATGAACTTCATCTCATTAGAGTCTGTATAAGTCTGTATAAGGTTTCCAAGATAGAATAAGTCCAATACACAGATCCAGAAGTTCATCTTGCCACCCAACACTCAAATTAACACCTCCTCTTCAAAAAGCTGTGTCATTGTGTGTCATTGTGCCTGATCATGTGGATTGTTGCTTCATGCTTTCAAACACCTGTTTGCCTGATGAGTTATGTAGCTGAATATTAGTGTTAATATGGATGAAGACAGACTTATTCTGTCCACGCAACATTTTGGTACACTTTCTTAATAAAGGTACTAGCATCTGTACCCATTGATACTACAGCTTCTAAAATGCTAAAGAATATAAAATTGCTGAACCATCACTTTCAAAGAAAAAGATGTAGTTCTGTGTCTCCAGGATTATTCTCTGATTCCAGTCCTTCAGTGGAGCTGATAATGTGTGTTGTTTCAGTACTACCACCCCCCCGACAGGAGACCCCAGCAACAACAGGTAGATGAACTACTGAATGAGATTGCGGATGAGGTGGAGATTGATGCTAAGTGTGACCCTGCAAAGGACGTGGAAGACAGGCTTGTGAGGTTCAAGGATGAGCCACCAAGGAAAGGAGCAGGAGGTGAGAGGGCAGTGTACCAGCACTGGTAGTTTCTTCTTGCTGGTGAACACACAAAACAACAACCTTGACCTGACTGTTGACCTGATGAATGCCGTGGTCCATTATGTTCCAGGGATGATTGGTACTGTAGATCTGGAAAGTGTTGCGCCATGAAATTACTGCTAGTGGCTAACAATAGCCTTAATATCTGTCTGGAAAGTTTTGTGACACCCTGTTAAGATGACCAAATATCAAAGCTACTATTGTAGGTGTTATATTTGATAAGTAGGAACCGACATGATGGAATGGAAGTGATTGTTAAACTATAGATGCATCTGTTGTTGTTGTTGTTGACAAAGGAGGTTGACAAGGGCTGACTTGGTTTCAACATTGTACCCCAATGGAATAGATTAATGCTCATTAAGTCAGTCACTGCATTGTCTAGTCCAAACAGGATATTTAATTAGTTACTGGCTGAATGCAATAAACAACAAACAAATACAAACATATAATACAGTTTGATGTTTAGTTGAAGTATTGAGATATATTTAGTGATTCTTATGTATGTGTTACTAACACATGCATGCACAGAAGCAGACTGAAGCTGTCACAAGTTGCTCGTGGTCTCCATATATTCTCCATGCATATTCCAACCAACTCTGCATACTTAATTTCATTGAGGATTAGCACACATTAAGCCCATGAGTATACACTCAACTCTCACACAGGTTAAACACTTCTGTGTTTGTCTGTAAGGCATGTGTGACCCAGTTGTCTATTTATAAGGCTAAAACCTGCTGTACAGTCGCTTCCCTGACAAAAGACAAACTGTTTCTCAACCTTCTGTGCATCACTTCATACATTAGGATCTTTTTTTCTCTTTTGTAATATGTTTCATTTTCTGCATCATATGTTTCCTGTGTCATAAAACAACATTCACACAATTAATGTTCTTCACAACAGACCGGAAGTCGTCTGCCTGCAACAACCTGAATTCAGAGACCTCTGGCCCCCACAAGCCGTACACAAAGAACATCCGCACTGCCACTGGTGGTCGATCTAGTCGGGAGCTGAGTCTGGATGATGTCAACAATCTGATCTCTGCAATGGCAACGGAGATGGAGCTAGATGCCCAGAAAGCTGTGGACGGTCTGCAGAAAGACAAAGAGATCATGGAAAGACTGAACGAACTGAAGAAAAAGAGGAATGCAAAAGGTTGATTGTGTTTGGTTCTACATTAGGTACCAGTCATTTATTATAGGGAGGGGTGGGTCAGAGGGAGTCAGGCTAGGGTCACCAAAGAATATGAAACTCTCAAGGAGAGGGGCATTAAGAATAATACACATATTTTGGGAGGGGCATGAAAAATGGACATTTTATGATAAAATATTAAGTGCTTTTGCATTTTTTGTTTTCGGGGAGGGGCATGTTAAAGATGTTCATGGACATGGAGAGGGTCATCCCCAAATATGACAAACTTTAAGAGAGGGTCCTTATTTTCAGTACATTAGTGCATCAAAAACTTCTCATCACCAACAACCCCCTACCCCACCAACCCTACCCAGAATATGTTCCCAAGACTCTTTAGTTGCCACTGAACTCAACTAATGATCAGATGGTTATGTTGACATTCTTTACAAGGTCATCTTTTTCATCAATTAGTGCAGATGTAAGAACAGATCAGCCATTCAGAAAAGCTGTTCATGATGTTTTTACAAAGCCCAAAATATAAAGACTACCGACTAAAGGCACCAAAATTAACTGACTACTGACCCCTCCCCATAAATACTGAATAATGAAATATTTACTGCCTGCTATCAACTCCTTGCAGCATGGATTGTTGCCTTCACGGGCTTCCCTTGTTCAGATTTGATTATTTGCAGGCTGCTGAGATGAATATGGAATACTGCATTATATTTATATATACTGTGATGTGCTTTAAACAATTCCTCATTCACTTGACCTCTATTTTGTAGGTGAGACATCGGAGGAAGACAATGAGCATTATGAGGACAGTGATGATGAGGAGTTCGCAGCCAAGAAGATCATTAAACAGGTACTCATCTCACCAGGTTCATATACATAGAGACTCAGCTTGTGGTGTGGTTTTAGATGATGTTTTACAGATCTGCTAACCCACAACACCTGAATATGACCAGAAAGGCACTACTTTTTATCTTATCCATTCTCAGATGATGCATTTCTTACTTCTTTCGATCATGGTGTGAAAACATGTCAAAACAAAGTATCTAGCTTCAAGAATCTTTACACCATAATCACCATAACCATCATAATAATCACCAAACTACTCTACTGTTGATAACTTGTTTGTTTTACAAGCTCTTTGTTCTAAATATTTGTGCAGAACCAGAGGTCGTTTTTTTTGTGTATATTTATTGACTTTAAAAAAACTTTTGACTATTTTAATAGGAAAAAATTGATGTATTTACTTCTTACTAAGGGATGTCATGGTAAAATGTCTGTACTTGTAAAAACCATGTATGCATCAGTCAGCGCATGTATAAAGATCAATAATGAACGTACGGACTGCTTTATAACATCTTCCTGTGTACGACAAGGTTGTGTTTTAAGTCTGTTGTTGTTTATATTTGTCATAAATGAACTTGCTATAGAGTTGCAAAATAGTTGTCAACATGGGATATTTGTAACACAAGAAATAATGGACATTACGCTCCTTCTCTTTGCTGATGATGTTGTAATTTTTTTCCTATTCTGTAAATGGCTTGCAAAAACAGTTAAATCTGAAACAGAGTTACTGTTCAAAATGGAGCCTTGAAGTAAATCTGAATAAAACCAATGTTGTAGTTTATAGAAAAGGTGGTATTGTTGCAAAACATGAAAAGTGGTTCGTCTGCCTTGAATGTAGTCACTTACTATACATATTTAGGTCTTTTGTTCTCCTCTAGATTGTCATGGTCTATGGCTTGTAAGCAATCAGGCGTCAAAAGCCATTATGCCTCTTTATAATTTATTCAGGAAAAATAGTCGTGTTTCTTTTTTCACAGCATGTGCTATTTTTGGAGGCAAAATTATCCCTATACTTTTGTATGGTTCTGAAATATGGGGTGCTAAGTATTACGCTGCAATTGAAAAAGTTCACACTTCATATTTCAAATGTTTTCTAGGTGTTGGTAAGTTTGCCTCAAATAAGGCAATTCTTGATCCAAAGTAAACAGGCCGTAATAATATTTTTGTAGCCAGCCAATTAAGGGTAATTAAGTATTGGATTAAGTTACTTAGAATGATGCCTAAAAGATACCCATATCAGTGTTACAAAATGTTAAAGGTACATGATGATAATGGAAAAAATAATTGGGTTTCAGATGTGAGAAATCTATTATTTGTTAGTGGCTTTCCATGTGTATGGATTTCTCAAGATGTGGTTATTTTTATATTCATTTAAGTAAAGACTGAAGGATATATTTTGTCAACAGTGGCACAAAAGTATTTCTGAATCACTTTATCTCAGCAATTACAGCAAAGTAAAATCATTGTTACAAACTAAAATATATTTAACTTGTTTAAATGATAAAAGTTTAATCAGAGCTTATTGTAAACTTAGAATTTCATTGCATAATTTTAATGTAAATATATGTCACAGGTCCAAAGACGGTGATATTGTGAACTCTATTTGTACAAACTGTTCATCTGGAGAAGTAGAGGATGAATACCATGTCTTACTTAGTTGTGAAACGTATTCCCATTTAAGGTATAAATTTCTCCCCATGTCGCAAGGTACTTTTAAAGACTAAACTAAAACTAAAAGCTAAACTCTGAAAATCCTGATATGATCCATGCTGTTTCTGTATTCTTAAAACATGTCTTTAAAATGAGGAATGTGTAACTTGATTTAAAATCTGATCATGTACATCATGTGACAATGTTAATATCCAATCTGCATTGTACTATGGGCCTAAAATACTGAATAAACTGTCTGTCTGTCATAATAATCATCACGCAAACAAATGGGTCACACACTGTAGTCCTGTGTGTTGTGACCTCATCATTCTTTTTCTCACTAAGGATTAGATATATGGATGAACAACTTCTTTGTTATCCCTAGCCACGAATTGAGTACAAGAGAATACATTTCTTTTTTCTGAGAGCTTCCTCTTCTATCATATCAACATCTATGGCATCATTTGAAGAAGAGAATGGGAACAGATCATGAGAAACGCCGGCCTTTAGAAATTGCAGACGGACCTTTTCCTCAGCTGATCCACATGCAACCACACAATGGGAAGGACTATCTGGGGTTTCAATGGTCAACCCGACCAGCTGTTCCCCATCCCATAGTTGCCATCCATCTTGATCCCAGATGACTATGAAGACATCACCTTATGTCTGGTAAGGGCTTGCTGCATCTACCTCAAGGCTGTGGCGCCACTCCCATAAGAGACTCTCCTTACTACTTTCTATGGCATTCACTACGGAAGTCTCCTGTACCACAGTCTTTATCTGGCTCTGTTCAACTATGCTTCGTGCCTATTCCTTCGCTGGATTGCCTTCTCCTGTGACATCCAGTCCACAAGACTAGAGCTATCACCTCTACAGCAACTGCACCCTGTCATGGAGTGTTGTTTTTGGAAGTCTGACACAGTCTTCTCTTCCCACTATCTGTGTGACATCTTGCTCACGAACCTTCAGGGCCTGCAGCAATTTGGTCCCTTGGTCCTGGCATAACAATTGCAGGCTACCCACCAGGAAAGATAGACGATGCATGTACTCACTCCTGCTGTACTCTGTATCCAGTACATACTGAATATATATTGGAATGTCACTCCTTTTATTGTCATTGTTATTCAGGTTCCCAGACTGAGTACCCAGTGGAGTGTAAAGTGACTCATTTGTAGAGATCTTCAACATCGAAGTCGTCGCAAGGCATGTCCGTTTCGGCGGTGTCCCAAGCACTTACATGCTCACCTCTGCCTTGTGCACATGATGGCATAGTATTGGTTTGAAGATTCTGTTATAGATATTGTCAATCATTCCCCTTCTCATGTTAGCATGATTTCAATCCTACAGGTATGATTGATAGCTTAAATGAAGCATTTAAGGAGATGCCAAGCTGTCTCACCCTGTTGTCTGATAGATAGCAGTGAACTGCCTGGTAAAACATCGCCTGTAAGGGTGTTTTTACCTACTCACAAGTTCCTGTCTTTTATTACAGTGTGGGGGCGGTCGGGTAGCCTAGTGGTTAAAGCGTTCGCTCATCACGCCGAAGACCCGGGTTCGATTCCCGACATGGGTATAATGTGTGAAGCCCATTTCTGGTGTCCCCCGCCGTGATATTGCTGGAATATTGCTAAAAGCGGCGTAAAACCATACTCACTCACTCGCTTAATTTATTACAGTGTAATAACTAGGTGTTTGTTTCACTGTTTAGCACCAGCTTCCTCATGCACAACTCACGGTTGTAGTCTCATACCAGCTAGTAGTTTCATCCGCCACACTGTTCCAACCGTGGGATAAATGCATCGTGTGAAATAGGATATGTTTAAGAATTTAAAATTTTTTACACTAGATTGTATATTTATATACTTTATCCTATCTCACACACCATATGCCCTCCCAAACATCCCCTTATCACAGCTACACTAGCCTGTCCGCACTAAGAAACAGTATGATGTGGCAGAGGTAGTCAGATGATCAAGTCATGTAAGGTCACAACACACAGGATTGCAGTGCGTGACCCATTTGTTTGGGTGATGTCTATGGCAATGCTAGGATGTGTTCGGGGGGAAATGTTTTTAGAAGCTGGAAACTTTGTTTTTGCATGTTTCCACACAATGATCTAAAGAAGAGGGAAGAAATTGCATAGTGCGAGGTACTGTAAATCTTGAAATTAATGTGTCTCCAAATTAATATGACTGCTGACCCCTAGCTAAAAATGCAACTGAAAATCAATGCGACTTCCCCCACCCCATCCCGAGTAGAATGATACATATCCTTACCTTAATCCGTTCGCTCGTCACATCGAAGACCTGGGTTCGATTCCCGACATGGGTACAATATGTGAAGTCCATTTCTGGTGTCCCCCGCCATGATTTTGCTGGAATATTGCTAAAAGCGGCGTAAAATGAAACTCACTCACTCACTTACCTTAATCCAATCAAACAGCAAATAGTTCCGTTTATTAGCACTGAGTAAAACACTTCCATAAAAACAACAAACAGTGTTGTCCTAAAAACAACACACAGTTTATATGTTGACTGGCATAAAGTTCAAAGGCATTAAAATAATTGAACCAACAACAGATCACTGATTGGAGTGGTCAATGATGCCTAGTTTGACACAAGTGGGTAGAACTCTTGACCCCAGCAGTTGTAACTCACCTGATGTCTATTGTTGAATTATTTAATCTTTAATTGACATTGTTATGTACTTGTTACAACTGCTGCACAATAAACCGTGTTGTGTATATATTCAAGTTTGTATTTCCGCTATCCATACTGGGGAGCCTCAAAAGACACCCTACTTTCACTATACATAGCTCTTATCCGATCTAAACTAGACTACAGTAGCGCCATTTACAACACCCTAAACAATTCACTAAACAAGAAATTACCCGCACCCAACAAGGCACTTCTAGCACTTCACTGCAGGCTCTAACAGAAGAAATCCCATTGGAATTACACCGGGAACAATTATCTATAAACTTCTGGGCTGCCGCCCAATCAAACCCTCTCATCCAAAATATTCTTAAAAACAACATTAGCCCAAGAAACCAAGTGCTGGCCTGCATAAACCCACTACTAACCCCCATATCACAAAGAATAACAATCTCCCTAAATGGACACAAACTAAATAATTTAAGACAAAACACCAAACCTTCCAACATTTACACACCAAAACTCCAAACCCCTAAAATAGACACCAAACTTGCCTCCACGCTAAACAAGCAAACAGATCCAAACATCGCTAAAAACAATTCATTAGCATACATCCACGAGAAATGGCTAAATTGGTGCCACATTTACACAGAGGGATCCTCTGATCCATCCTAAAAGCACACCGGCTTTAGCGTCCACATCTTTCAACCTCTAAAACAAACAAAATCTTACAGACTCCCCAATAATCTATCTATCTTTACGGCCAAACTCATGGTCATGGCCACAGCCCTTCAAAACCCACAAATAAAAACCCGCCAAAACATCCTCATCCTCACAGACTCCCTCAGTGGACTCCAGGCCCTAAAGGCCCAAAACACTAAAAATCGCCCCAAACTAATTAGTCAAATTCTAAAAAGCTCTAATGAACTAACTAAAGCAGGCAAACAGATAGAATTTGTTTGGATACCCGCACATGTAGGAATTTATGGTAATGAACATGCCGACAAAGCAGCTAAACTTTCACTAAAACTCCCAGAAATAAGTCTAAATCTGCCAATTTCCAAATCAGAAATTAAAAGCATAACAAAACAAAAAAACTCCCAAAAATAGCAAACAAAATACAAAAACTGAAACTGTCAGCTCAAAAAAGTACTCAAAATAACCCTAACTAAAGCCAACATTCTTCACCCATCCAAAAAAATTGACAGGGCCATAACTAAATAACAAACAGCCACCTTCAAACACTAAAAATACACGCAACAGGCACATGCCCACACTGCACTCAAAAAGAAACCACAGAACATGCACTCATCCACTGCCCACGCTACAAGACACACAGAACAACACTTCTAAACACACTAAACTTAAACTCCTGAGTAAACTCTTGAAAAAATCTTAAACCCACTAAATAACACATCCAACTTTAAAGCCCTAGGCAATACCTAATTAAAACAGATGTTATTAACCGAATATAACCCACAAATAATGAAAACAAAACAAATTAAAAACAAAAATAATTATTAAAGAAACGAAACAACTCACTCAACACTCACATCTCCCTTAGTCTCTCTCTCCACTCTCCACTTCCTTCATATATTTTGGGCAAATTCATTAAATGGCCTGGTGGGCCTGTGTGCGACTAAAGTCGGAAAGCGCTCATAAAATCCCCAACCTCAGTCAGTTAGTCCGCTATCTAAGGTGTGCAGTGAGGCTGTCTTATTGTCTACCAGATGTCTACTGTGTAATTATTTTTTTAAACGATATTTATTTCCACTTGGTTTAGTAAAAGTTCAGATTTAATCTTTTTAGTTGACATTCTACCATGAATTTGGAATTTACTCGATTCTGATTGGTCAGTCAGAGGCTATTAAATCACAATAATCCCCTCTGATTGAAACAGCTGGTTTGACGGCCGCATCACCGCAGAAGCTAATATTCATAGAATAGCACTTTTTTTTCAGTCATTGTCAGTAGGCATATTTAAACAATTATATCTACAATTACAGGTTACAAAATGCACAGATGCAGTTACTACAATATTCCAAGGATGTGTGGCAATACATTTCGTGCAGAAAACACGATAGAAATCTGCAAAGGAAGTGCACTTATGTTTTGGAGACAACAGCTAGAGAGCTTGGAATTTTGGCGCTTTCCTACATACGACTGTGACGTCATATCTTTTGCATCACAATGAGCGATATGACGTCATAATGATGACATGCAATGTAGAGCAAAAGACTTGCAAAGCAGATCGATATTCAGATCGATAATCCACTCAAAACACTGGACTCAACCCATGCCGCTTCACTCAGTATATTTGCTAACACCAAAGAGTTCGCATTTTATTTAGTCATAGTAGAATGGAGATAAACATACCGTACTGTGTTTTCAATGTAGAGCTAGGTTACCTGTAGATTTAACCTCGCTAAATTCAATTTGGAACCGAACGCGAATTGTTATGTACTTGTTACAAGTGCTGCTCAATAAACCGTGTTTGTGTATATATTCAAGTTGGTATTTCCACTATTCAAGTGTGCAGTGAGGCCGTCTTATTGTTGATAGTCCTTTGGAGACATAAATGCGAAGTTTCATTAATGCAAACAATGACCACTCATATTTTTTAATCGCGTTAATTTCAAAACAGTTAATGAATATACAATTTTATGTAAATTTTTCAATTATTCTATTATTTCCATTCAACCTGAATGCGAATTTGGATCGTCCAACTGTATAATTATGCATTTCAGGGAGCAACCATTTGACTTTTGTGAAGTTCTAAAAAAAAATATTCAAACCCATTTTACTGAAAAGTAATTATATATGCCTCCCTGACAAAAGGGTTTGAATCACACAGTCTCTACCACAGGAAGTAATAACAATGATGCAATAACAATATAAAATAATAATTTCTCCCTCAGTATCTGGAAGAGGTGAGGCTGGAGGAAAGACTGGGAGACATTCCTTCTATTGACGGACAGCCCACTGATGAGCAACTAAAGAAAATGAACACTGCCAAACCAAAGAAAGCCTCAAACATGAATAAGGTATGTAAAGACAGTGATGTGGGGTCTCTATAAGGTATGTGAGAAGAGTGGGGTAGGGTCTCTATTACATTTGTGAGAAGAGTTGTGCTGTGAAGCATGAATTATGAAATGTTTTGTTGGTTAACAAGTGTGGACCTTTTGCAATTTTGCTGTTTAGGAAATGAAGACTGGTGATGAAGAAGGGTTTGACCCTGATGAGTTGCCATATTGCTGTATCTGTACCAACAACGCCACCATTAGATGCCTCGGATGTGACTTTGACCTCTACTGTGCTGGATGTTTCAAGTATGCTAATATCTGTGTTATCTCATTTTAATGCTCAACATGCTCAACAAAGTAATCACTTAAAATCCTTTGCAAAGGTATCCCTGGTTCTCAAGTCCATTACCCATCTGTGTGGGGGTGCTAAAGTTCTTTACCCATATGCGTGGGAGTGCTAGTGTTCCTTACCCATCTGTGTGAGGGTGCTAAAGTCCCTAACCCAACTGTGTGAGGGTGCTAAAGTCCCTACCCATCTGTGTGGGGGTACTAAAGTTCTTTACCCATCTGCGTGGGAGTGCTTGTGTTCCTTACCCATCTGTGTGAGGGTGCTAAAGTCCCTAACCCATCTGTGTAGGGGATGCTAAAGTCACTTACCCATCTGTGTTGGGGATGCTAAAGCCCCTAACCCATCTGTGTAGGGGATGCTAAAGTCACTTACCCATCTGTGTTGGGGGTGCTAAAGTTCTTTACCCATCTGCGTGGGAGTGCTAGTGTTCCTTACCCATCTGTGTGAAGGTGCTAAAGCCCCTAACCCCATCTGTGTAGGGGATGCTAAAGTCACTTACCCATCTGTGTTGGGGATGCTAAAGCCCCTAACCCATCTGTGTAGGGGATGCTAAAGTCACTTACCCATCTGTGTAGGTGATGCTAAAGTCACTTACCCATCTGTGTGGGGGTGCTAAAGTCCCTAATCCCATCTGTGTGAGGGTGCTGAAGTCCGTAACCCATCTATGTGGGGATGCTTAATTCCCTTACCCATCTGTGTAGGTGATGCTAAAGTCCCTAACTCATCTGTGTAGGGGATGCTAAAGACTTTCACCCATCTGTGTGGGAGTGCTAAAGTCCCTTACTCATTTGTGTGTTGTGCTAAAGTCCCCAACACATCTGTGTAGGGGATGCTAAAGTCCCCAACTCATCTGTGTGGGAGTGCTATGTCACTTACCCATCTGTGTGTGTGCTAAAGTCCCTTACCCATCTGTTGGGGGTGCTAAAGTCCCTAACCCATCTGTTTGAGGGTGCTTAAGCCCCTTATCAATCTGTGTAGGGGATGCTAAAGCCCCTTAATTATCTGTGTGGGGGTGCTAAAGTCCCTAACCCATCTGTTTGAGGGTGCTAAAGCCCCTTATCCATCTGTGTAGGGGATGCTAAAGTCTGTAAGCCATCTGTGTAGGGGTGCTATAGTCCATAACCCATCTGTGTGGGGGTGCTAAAGTCCCTTACTCATCTGTGTAGGGATGCTAAAGCCCCCTATCCATCTGTGTGGGGGTGCTAAAGTCCCTAACCCATCTGTTTGAGGGTGCTTAAGCCCCTTATCAATCTGTGTAGGGGATGCTAAAGCCCCTTACTTATCTGTGTGGGGGTGCTAAAGTCCCTAACCCATCTGTGTGGGGGTGCTAAAGTCCATAACCCATCTGTTTGAGGGTGCTAAAGCCCCTTATCCATCTGCGTAGGGGATGCTAAAGTCTGTAAGCCATCTGTGTAGGGGTGCTATAGTCCATAACCCATCTGTTTGAGGGTGCTAAAGCCCCTTATCCATCTGTGTAGGGATGCTAAAGTCTGTAAGCCATCTGTGTAGGGGTGCTATAGTCCATAACCCATCTGTGTGGGGGTGCTAAAGTCTGTAAGCCATCTGTGTAGGGGTGCTATAGTCCATAACCCATCTGTGTGGGGGTGCTAAAGTCCCTTACTCATCTGTGTAGGGATGCTAAAGCCCCTTATCCATCTGTATATAATGGATGCTAAAGTCCCTAACCCATCTGTGTTAGGGTGCTAAAGCCCCTTACCCATCTGTTGGGGATGCTAAAGCCCCTAACCCATCTGTGTTGGGGATGCTAAAGTCCCTAACCCATCTGTGTGAGGGATGCTAAAGTCTCTTACCTATCTGTGTAGGGATGCTAAAGTCCCCAACCCATCTGTGTAGGGGTTCTAAAATCTCTTTCCCATCCGTGTGAGGTTGCTAAATTCCCTTACCCATCTGTTGGGGGTGCTAAAGTCCCTTACCCATCTGTTGGGGGTGCTAAAGTCCCTTACCCATCTGTTGGGGGTGCTAAAGTCTGTAAGCCATCTGTGTAGGGGATGCTAAAGCCCCTTACTTATCTGTGTGGGGGTGCTAAAGTCCCTAACCCATCTGTTTGAGGGTGCTAAAGCCCCTTATCCATCTGTGTAGGGGATGCTAAAGTCTGTAAGCCATCTGTGTAGGGGTGCTATAGTCCATAACCCATCTGTGTGGGGGTGCTAAAGTCCCTTACTCATCTGTGTAGGGATGCTAAAGCCCCTTATCCATCTGTATATAATGGATGCTAAAGTCCCTAACCCATCTGTGTTAGGGTGCTAAAGCCCCTTACCCATCTGTTGGGGATGCTAAAGCCCCTAACCCATCTGTGTTGGGGATGCTAAAGTCCCTAACCCATCTGTGTGAGGGATGCTAAAGTCTCTTACCTATCTGTGTAGGGATGCTAAAGTCCCCAACCCATCTGTGTAGGGGTTCTAAAATCTCTTTCCCATCCGTGTGAGGTTGCTAAATTCCCTTACCCATCTGTTGGGGGTGCTAAAGTCCCTTACCCATCTGTTGGGGGTGCTAAAGTCCCTTACCCATCTGTTGGGGGTGCTAAAGTCTGTAAGCCATCTGTTTAGGGGTGCTAAAGTCCCTTACCCATCTGTGTGGGGATGCTAAAGTCCCTGAGCCATCTGTGTACGGGATCCTTAAGTCCCTTACCCATCTGTGTAGGGGATGCTAAAGTCCCCAACTCATCTGTGTAGGGATGCTAAAGACTTTCACCCATCTGTGTGGGAGTGCTAAAGCCCCTAACCCATCTGTGTAGGGGATGCTAAAGCAGGGGTCCGGAAACCGTCATATGCGCCGGACATGTCCGATTGGGAATCTCAAATGTCCGTTTTAAAATAGGCTATTGCTTACCGGACATTTTAAAAAGTATTGTCCGGACATTCTTAAATTTTGACCGGACATGATCAACAGTTAGGACTGAGCAGTTTCTGTCTGCAGTTGCAACACAATGAAGATTAACTACACTGACAAGCTTTGTTTGTTTTGATTGCTGAAAATACATCGTACCTACATGATAGTCCAATCGGTCAATCACTGTAATAGGCAATAAACTGAGTTGACACTGATTAATCGAGGATTAATTACTGAGAACATCTTGTTAATTTGAGTGAAAGGTGTTTACAACTGTACATTAATACCTTGCATCATCGATGTACCTCATTATCCTCACAATGCTATGATACGTAATCTCAGACAAGAAGCGAAAGCGTGACGACAGCCAGTCGACCGATGCAGATCAGTCGAGCGGATCTGCCAAACCCTCAAAGTCTGGACGATCATTTTGTAAGTCGTGGCTAACGACTTTCACTTGGTTGACATACAATGAGGATTTGCAGATTTTATTGTTTTCAGTATCTAGTCGTATATTGAATCTTGATTGACCGCCATTTTGCTTTCTCGGACGATCGATATCCAATTTGTTTATGGTCAATAATTAAGTACAGATGAAAAAAGTATTCAAATAACTATTGCTATCAACGATATTTTAGTATTTGTGATTAAATTATCTGTCTTGTTTTTAAAAAAATCTTTAGTTTAAAAAAAAACTTTTCCCGTGAGGTCACGTGATAACCAAATATGGGATAATAGTCTCGATCCAAATGTTACAACGCGTACACTTGAGCAGACTTATGAATATAACTCATGAATATTAATTAGACCGTTCACTACGTTAACAGACCGTTATTATAACAGAAACAAACGTATGTTTTCCATGTAAATCTAAAATGATATTATTTGTTATTAATTGTCTGATGAATTAAACAATTTAAATTGAAACAATTCATAATTCATCATATTATGAATACTTAAACTTTTAATGTGTGTGAAAAGTCGTACTAAAATACGCTATTTGAAGGGGGCGTGGCCTAAATGCAAATGTTCGATTGGGATTTTAAATTTTCCGGACCCCTGTGCTAAAGTCCCTTACCCACCTGTGTAGGGGTTCTAAAATCTCTTTCCCATCCGTGTGAGGGTGCTAAAGCCCCTTACCCATCTGTTGGGGATGCTAAAGCCCCTTACCCATCTGTTGGGGAAGCTAAAGCCCCTAACCCATCTGTGTGGGGGTGCTAAAGCCCCTAAGCCATCTGTGTGGGAGTGCTAAAGTCCCTAAGCCATCTGTGTGGGAGTGCTAAAGTCCCTTACCCATCTGTGTGGGAGTGCTAAAGTCCCTAACCCATCTGTGTGGGAGTGCTAAAGTCCCTTACCCATCTGTGTGGGAGTGCTAAAGTCCCTAACCCATCTGTGTAGGGGATGCTAAAGTCACTTACCCATCTGTGTAGGTGATGCTAAAGTCACTTACCCATCTGTGTGGGGGTGCTAAAGTCCCTAATCCCATCTGTGTGAGGGTGCTAAAGTCCGTAACTCATCTATGTGGGGATGCTTAAGTCCCTTACCCATCTGTGTGGGAGTGCTAAAGTCCCTAATCCCATCTGTGTGGGAGTGCTAAAGTCCCTAATCCCATCTGTGTGGGAGTGCTAAAGTCCGTAACCCATCTATGTGGGGATGCTTAAGTCCCTTACCCATCTGTGTGGGGATGCTAAAGTCCCCAACTCAGCTGTGTGGGGATGCTAAAGTCCCCGACTCAGCTGTGTAGGGATGCTAAAGACTTTCACCCATCTGTGTGGGAGTGCTAAAGCCCCTAACCCATCTGTGTAGGGGATGCTAAAGTCCCTTACCCATCTGTGTAGGGGTTGCTAAAGTCCCCAACTCATCTGTGTAGGGATGCTAAAGACTTTCACCCATCTGTGTGGGAGTGCTAAAGTCCCTAACCCATCTGTGTAGGGGTGCTAAAGCCCCTAACCCATCTGTGTAGGGGTGCTAAAGCCCCTTACCCATCTGTGTGGGGGTGCTAAAGCCCCTAACCCATCTGTAGGGGTGCTAAAGTCCCTAATCCCATCTGTGTGAGGGTGCTCAAGTCTGTAAGCCATCTGTGTAGGGGATGCTAAAGTCCCTTACC